GGGCCTGGAGCCGGTCCCGGCCCCGGGCTGGTCCCGGCCCCGCGGCCCTGCGTGGAGCAGGCGGATGGGCGGGCTACGTGACCTCCGTCCAGCCGCGGTTACCCTGTGACTCACGGCTAGGCCGCGTGGGGAATGCCGCGCTTAAATGGCACTTCAAGTGCCTCAATTGAGCTGCCAAGTCTGGGCCACTGTGTTACAAAATAACAAATACGTGCCAAATCTTTTTGGCCACTTGGAGGTAATAGGAAACACCTTCTGTCTTACAGTTCCTCTGTGAACAATGAAATAATGTTTGGCTGCTACCATTTTTCTTTGAGACTCAAAATGATGTTTTGTTAATAGTATCAGTTAGTGCCAAGTAGGCAGGATCTCGTATAATATACACAGCTTGCCCCAATGCACCTATGTGGTGTAAGAAGTGCATCAAGTGATGACATGCTATTGAGCTGCTAAAGTTAGAGAACAGGCTCTTTTTTAGGAAAAAAAAAGGGGGGGTGGGGTTCAGAGAGTTTAAATGTTTGCTGAAGTGTACCTTGTTGTTTCACAATGTTAAATCTGTGCAGGAAAAGGGTATGACAATGTTTTAACTTGCTGAGGGATTGTCTTAGGATTTTCAGATTTCGATGTTACTGATTTCAGAGCAAGAGCCCTTCTCTCGGTGTTGCCAGTGTAAGGCTGAGCACAGAAAGTGTAGTTTACTGGCAGTGTTTCCAGGCTGAGCACATCAGAAAGGCTGGCGGAGCAGAGGGAACCTTTGCCGGTTATCAGCAGGGCTCTGAGACCTCACATTTGGCCACCTGACAAGAGAAGACGGTTCTCCCAATTCTTGGGATTTTGGTCTCATTCTCTAGTAAATCATACAAATATATATATATACATATATTTTCAGCCAAGATTGTCTAAAAGCAATTCTCTCCTCCTGGCTTGTGTTTAAAGGGGGAATTTACACATTCATTCTCTTCCCATTTGTAATACTGCTCCATGAGTGCCTGACCGACTGTGTGATGGCTGTTTAATATCATTAATTAGGTTGAGTTAACACGGGGGTCTTTAAAATATCAGCATCTGTCTTGTTTGTCTTCAGCCCAAATGACTTTTTCATTCTTAATTATTACAGTCTTTAAATTTTTCCAGATAATTAAAAACCCCGTCAACCCATTTGCGGGTGACAAGTCAAAGAACTTCTGAGTTACAGCTAGAAGCCAACAAGAACTGCCAGTTGCACAAACAAAATCATTGCAGGTTCAGGCAGGGTCGGTTCAGTAAATCAGGGAAACGGAGGTGGGGAGGGAAGATGGGACAGTCTGGGAGATGAGAGACTTTTAGGAAGATTCCCGCTGGACTCACATGTGAATTTGAGGAACTAAAACCTGTTAATAGGTCAACACTTTTCTGGTTTGAGCAGAGTTTGGGTAACTCATCTGCAGCTCGGGGTCACACCAGACCCAGGCCCCACTCTGCTTCTTTTTGCTACGCTCCTTGCTCGTCATTTCTTTGCTTTGCTTGGTTCTGTGCTCGTTGACACTTCGCTTTCGGTCGCCTGGTGGGGTTTGGAGTAGTGGTTTGTAGCATAATTTTTCACTTTCTTGAAGTTATTCCAGAGTTTGGAGTTTTGGCAGATGATTCCCTTGGTATCTGCAGGGGATTCCTCATCAGCCACTGCTGGGGAATGTCAGGGATTGATTTAACTCAGCCCATGAGCGCTAGGAAATGACACATTGGTGACAGCTGCCCCAGCGGTTGCAGTTGCAAATAATTTTGGTGTGAGTGTTAATTGATTAATTGTCACTAGGTGCTTTCCGGTTGCAGGAATTAAGGGCATTGCCACAGCCAGCAGGGAAGGAGAGGATGCAGCCGCAGAGAAACCAGGTGGCTTGTTTCCTGGGTGAAAAGAAGAAAGGGGGAAAAAAACTTTAGTAGACATGCGGAGGAAAGGGGCAGCACTTTATCCCTGTCCTCCCAAAAGCTCTTCCCATGGAAGTTCCTTCTGTATATTGTGTTTAAGATGGACTTCCCGGGCCAATTTTAGTGTTTCCTTGTAAAAATGAAGTTTTATGCTCCAGCGCAGATTTGCAGCGTGCTCTGTGGGGTTGGCAGTGCTTTTAGAATTAAGCCAGGCTATTTTTGCACTTATGTGTACGAGTTGGCAATTTCCATGCAAATGATGGTGCCTTAAAATAACTCACCATGCAGAAGAAGCGTTGAACGTCCCCGCAGAGGAGAGCTCCCGCTCCAAGCTGGAGTTCGGTACATGTTTTGAAGCAGATTAAATTGAGTCATTTTAGCCGGATTAGGCACCCCAGTGAGGATCCATGTTGCATTTACGGATGTTTGAAGAATAAAAACAACCAGGACGTTTCTCAGAAGCTGTGGCATGGTTTATTGGTCATCTTTTATTCCCACAGCCTAATGTGATGAGCTGCTTCCCAACTTTGTGAATCCCAACTGCAAAATCCACTGAATTTTCCTCCTGGAGAAGCCACAAGCAAGAGAACAACCCCTCTCTCACTCCGGCTTGTCACCACCGTCCAAACCGCCTGTTCCCATCAGGTTGTGTTCACAGTGTCCAAACACAGTCCAATTAGACTGCACAAATATTTGTTTTTCCTAATGAAAAATGCCAGTCTGGAGTTTTCCAGTTCCCACCTAGTAAACTTAGCACCTATATAAGCATGTTTGTTTATAGTTGTGTTTGTGTGTGTGTATACATATTTATGTATTCATATTTATATAGAGGTATATACTTATATAATGTATATAAGTGTACATGTACATAAATACCTACATTTATAATTGGATTAATAATGATGTAAATTAACGTAAGTAGAATCCATTTTAACATCTGCCTATTTCTACGCGTCGTTTTTTATTTTGCGTTTTCGTGTTTAC